CTCAAATGCTTTAGCCTCTCTTGAAATTTCAGGGAAAAGTACAACTTTTGCCCATTTGAATTCACTGGAAATTATTCCAGGCAACTGAAGGATAGAAGCAATACCTATAAGCACCGGTTTAACTGCAGATTTCTTCTTCTCTGGAGGACTGTAAAAGTGGCATTCATAACTCCCCTCAGTATTTTTACAGGTAAAAGTAGGTCCAAGGTTTTCTTGTAAACAAGGGCTATTCTTCGAGTCCGCGCATTCATCAATATCTGAAACGAATTAGAAAAGTGGAAAAGGAATGAATATCGAAATGGTAGAACAGTGAAAAATAATGAGCAAAGATCAATTATAAACAAGCAACTAGTGGAGATATTAGCCCTGCATTTTGAGGCCGTTGCCTCAAACTGGTTTACCATGTATGAATATGGATTGATGGGGATCTCTGATTCCAAATAAAAACAAATTCATCATTTAGATTGTGAGAAGTTTACCTAGACATCCTTCAGGAAGATACGGATTTCCTTCGTATCCCCTTTTGCAAGAACACCGAACCACTGAGGTCTGGTTACTAAAGGAGGTGCTGTTGATAAAAACTCCACTTTCACACACAGTTGAATTGTTAAAGGAAATTGATTTATTCGTTACAAGCGAGTCATATTTCCATCTGTCTATCCTCCACTCCAGCACCACAGGAAAGTTATCCCTGTTTTGTATGGCTGAGGCTTTTGCTATTCTTACATTGGACTCAAACCACTGTTGGTCTACTAAGAATGCATACTTGCATCCCTCTGAGTTTTCCCTGGCTTCTATGTTCTCTATTGTTGTATTGAATGCCTGAAGATGGGAAGGGATTGTTGTCTGGCAACAGTCAATGCCATTGCAAGTAGTACTACTTCCTCCTGTTGAGCCACTAAAGCAGAATGATAAGCACCCACCAATGGTTGAACCATTCAGCAATGTCATTAGAGCTAAGTTGTTGCATCCCACACCAGTGAATCTATTATCAGCTTGGGAGAAAACAAAAGGGCTTCCTTCCATGCTCATCACATTTGCACTGCTTCTGTCACCACAAGTTGAATTTACCGGAAAGTTGACACGAACAGTTCCTAATTCTGTTGAAACTTCCAGAACTTCAAGTTTAGTGCTATTTAAGAAGGGCTTGGGAGGGTTAAAAGTTTCATTGCAGGAAATGGAAAACCATTCATCAACATAGCAGTTGGCTCCAATTCCAAAAGGGTATGGAATGGTAACATCTCCACATTGTGACTGGCAACCAGACTTAGCTAGAGCTGGTGATTGAGCTAATGCAGTACTTATTTTCCACAATAACAAAACCACCTCAAAAAGTTGGAGCACCATTTTCATCTCTCTCTCTCTCTCTCTCTCCTTGAGGGTCATGGAGCAAATCCAAATTCTCAGTACATGCTTTATAGGAGGAATCAGGCTAATAAAAATGTCTCTCTTTGCCCAAGTGGGAATTCTGTGCTGAAATTTCCTGAATAAGTTGTCCACCAGAATGATCGAAGTCAAAAAAGAAACATTGAAAGTTTGATTAAGGTTTTGGATTCTAGCAACCATATTTGACAAAAGAGAAAATGCTAACTACCACTCCGGCCAATGATGCAATCACAAGTTTTTGCATACCAATACCATGCTTTCCAACAATGTGCCGTCTTTTGACTATATTACTATATTAAGAGCAAATCTGTGTCTGACGGAAGTATTACTAGACTTTTCATTTCCTCTTTTGGCATCTTACTCTTCGTTTGCTTTTCTTTGAATTTTCATGGAAAAGGTATACATTAGCAGATTAATTAGTTCATACAGTTACAGGTTAATTCAAGACTCTTACCGCGGACCGGTCATCTTTGGAGCCTGCTTCCTCTATTACTTTGAAAATTATTTTCCAAGTGTCCTTTGACAGTTCCGTGTTTAGAATTAGGATAATCAATTATGCACTTTAATTAGACATCAAATAAAGTTATCAGTCAAAGTAAAAGATAAAATATGTTGAAGGGCCAAGCGTCAACCTTCTATTAATGAACACATATTTATTCAACAAAAAGCTGGTGGAAATTAAACAGCTAAAAACACAGAGAGTTCGACAAACAAAACAGCAGTTTAGAGTTTAGACAAACCTCAAACTGGCAAACACAGCAAACAAATACCACAAAACAGACCAGAAAAGAAATAAAGAAACAGGGAAATCTCCAATATAGCTAGACGAATGATAAGAACTTATGTGACCCCTGCATTGAGAATTCTTGTTCATCCTGATTCGTCTGATAATATTGATTGTACATCTGTTGATGAAGCAGCGCCACTATCCCAACCTGACCCTGTTGAATCTGTTGATGTAACAGCATCATCCCAATGACCAATTACTACATTTGGGACATGTTCAGCCGCTTTGAGATTGAGTTGCACATCAGAAGCTTTCTGAATCCCCTCCAACTCCACTGCCACTTCTTTCATCGTGGGGCGTCTTTTTCCGTTCATATCCAAGCATCTCTTTGCTAGGTTAGCCACTGCCAAAGTCTCTTCCGTTGCACCCTCCTCCTTAACTTGAGCATCAAAAATATCAAGCACATTATTCTCCTCCATGGAATGATTGAAATATGAAACTAGGCCTCTGGCTTCTTGTGAGCTCGTTAGAGAAACTGCCTTTTGTCCGGTCAAGAGCTCAACAAGAACCACTCCGAAGCTATACACATCACTCTTATCCGTAAACTTACTTGATTGGAAGTACTCTGGGTCCAAGTAACCAAATGTGCCATGTACTAATGTTGTGAGGTGCGTTTGGTCAACTGAAACTGATCTTGAACTCCCGAAATCTGCTATTCTGGCTCTGTATTTGCCATCCAAGAGTATATTAGTAGACTTGATGTCACGGTGGTAAATCGGGAAAGAAGCTGCCGAATGCAAGTAGGACAGAGCTCCTGCAATTTCTAGAGCAATCCTCAAGCGCATTTCCCAGGTAAGAGGAAATTCCTCATTTTGGTCATGAATATATTGATAAAGTGTTCCATTGGGTATGTATTCATAAACCAAAAGAGGAACTTCAGTCTCTAAACAACAACCCAAAAGTTTAACCAATTTCTGTGGTTAATTTGAGAAAGAATGACAATTTCATTGATGAATTGTCTGACTTTGCCTCCACTAGCTATATTTTTGGACTTCTTTACAGCAACAATGGTTCCGTCTACCAACATTCCTTTGTAGACGGTACCTTGGCCTCCATGGCCAAGAATTCTATCTACATTAAACTGGTCAGTGGCTTTCTCTAGCTCCTCTGACTTGAACAACTTGGCTTTCTGAACATTAACTTCACCGGAAGATAATTGTTGCTCCAGCAAAATACCACCATTTTGTTTAAAGAAGTTCTCCTTGCGTTTAATGGCTTTTCTTTTCTTGATGACTTTCTGCAACCACCATGCACCAATGACTACTAGCAACAGCCCAAGACCAATGCCTATCCCTGTATATAGCTCAAAAAAAAGAAAAAAGGAAGGCTTAATCAAAGTAACCAATAGCTTACAGAGGAAAAACAAAAGTGATTTTGAAGTTGGTTAAAGTCGGTTGAGAGTTTTGTAATAGTTTATTGGTTAACTTACCGAGTGAAATATTAATCAAGAGAGGAGATTGACTGGAGTTGTATTTTATGCAACCTGATGCAGTTTTCAGGCCATCACCTTTGTACCCTTTTGGACATAGACAAGAATAATTTCCAGGTAGATTTAAGCACTCTGCACTGCAGGGATCTGAGACCTCACACTCATCAATATCTGAGAAGAACGCAGCAGTAGAATGCATCACAATTGGTGGTAAAAACCTCAATCTTCAGCTTTTAATTATAACAAGTAATTAATAAGTAATATATGGAATTAATAATATATAATATATATGGGGATGTTTGGCGAAGTTATGTTACCATTGTATCCTTCATTCATAATCTATGGGCCTGCTAAATTACTATGCTTATTTATGTGTGATTAATAATTTATTTTCTAATTATGTCCATATATGGAATGGACGAACATTATATTTCAACATAACAATTTCCGACCTAATTGATCCGTCGTAAGGATGACAGTTTCACATACAAAGTGATATGAACCTTTTAGTTCTTATAAAAAAAGAATATATATAATATCCTTCCTTTAGCTATAAAATCAGTTGTCTCAATAGCATATCAGCATGAACGTGTCGATAAATATGCTAACGATGTGTTATAAGGGGGAATTTGTAGATGGAGTGCATAACGTGTCTAGGTCAGTTTGGGATTGCTGTCACTTTGTAAAAAAAAGTTGCTTGTGCTTTGCTTTGAAAATAATTAGTTGTAAAGTAAAGCAACTTCATGTTTGGTAAACAATATTTTTAAAGTGTTGTTAGCACAAAAAACAATGTCAAAATCGTTTGACAAAATTTAGTATAAAACTATTATAATTGTGAATAATTACTAAAATAGACATGATGTTGAAAGTGTTATGCGCTAATCATGTGGTGGTAATGGTTGTAGAGGTGGTGGTCAAAGAGATGGAGGTGAAAGTGGAGGTGAAAGAGGTGAAGGTGGTGATGAAGGTGGAGGTGGTGGGGATGGCAGTTGTGGAGGTGGAGGTGGTGGTGTAGGTGGAGGTGGAGGGGGTGGAAGTGGAGGAGGAGGAGTATATGGTGGTGGTTTCAGCAGTGGCATTTGGTGGTGGTGGAGTTGCATGTGGAGGTGGAGGTAGTGTCATTTTTAAAAATTAATAATGGTATTTTGGGAATTAAAAAAATTCATTAAAGTCTCATTTCTGTTTTGTTTAAAAGCAGCTTTGAAAAGCAATCCAGAACTTGCTTTAAAAGCTGCTATCAAAATGTCATTGCTTTTAAAATACTCGGGATATTTTATTTTTACCAAACACCTTAAATTGCTTCCTGGAAAAAAAAAACACCTTAAACTACTTAATTTTAAAGTGAAGCTGGCTTTTGAGAATAAAAAAAAAAAAAAAAAAAAAAAAAAAAAAGAAATCTCAAACGGGGCCATGATTACCTTGGCATCCATCTGGGTGGTATGGATTCCCTCCATAACCTGGCAAGCACATGCAGAAGTAACCAGATGAATTGGTCCGGTTGATACATTTGCTATTTGCTTTGCATGAAAAATTGTGGCTCTTCTCAGCTGCAGCACACGGCTGATCTCCGATTTCCCAGTTAATAACCATTGGAAGCTGGGGTGTGTTCGCCATTTCTAGAAAACTTGCATTGGTGAATTTGAAATAGTTCTCTTCCACAATGAAGGCGTAGCTGCAGCGCAAGTCTCCATACGGATCATTTTTATATTTACTCACTTTCACAGTAAAATTTTTCAGTCCACTAGGGATGGAAGCTGTGCAGCACCCAATGCCAGAGCAAGACTCGGTAACTTTGTCAGGCCTACGACATAAGGACAGGCACCCCGATTCGTACCTTTCTTCGTCCTGGCGGTAACCTTCAAGTATTGCAAAAGTGTCACAACCAATCGAAACCAACTTGTTTCTGGTGTCCGAGATGGTGAAAGGAGAAACCTGGAGCGGGAACGAGAGCGAGTAGGGGGAGATGTGCACCACACCCCACTCGTCATTATTATAAAAACAATCATGGGACACACGCTGCAATATTTGCAATTCACCGTCAAGGGATATATTAGTAATAACAATGTCTTCACTTCCCATCAGATATGCTATTGGGATTTGAGTGAAGTTACTAGTCGTAGTACTAGTATTAGTAGTACAGTTGATAAAAAAGTTTTCTCCCAGGTACCAACCTTCAACTGTCCCAAATGGGTATGGAACTTTCAGATCACCGCAATAGTCAGGGCATCCAGGCAGGGCTTGAGCTGCTGCAGCGGTGGCTGTTGCAAGTGTCGCTAAAACAAATATCGTTCCGGCCAACCTGAGTGGCCTTAGAATCAGCATCCCATGTAAGGCCATGGAGTTCTAGCAATTAGTAAGAGGAAGGGAATTTCGTATGTTGTTGTATTGTTTTGTGAGCAAAGGACAATGATATATATATAGCCCCGTCTTTTGTAGGCATATATGAAAGGTAATATACTTGCCTCCTTTCTTTGAAAATTTCCTGTCAATCATAGTTGTGCTTGTGTAGATTAATTTTCCTTTTCTGTTTTCAAACTGCAATTTGTGGGAAGGAGGAATAGACAGAAGCTGGTGTGCCGTGGCTCATGGGCTAAGGGAAAATGTGACAAATGGCATCCTCTAGAGGGATCTGTCTGCAACTTCCCTAAGTAAATGCAAAAGTCAATGCTTGATCAGCTCCCATGCCAAATAAACAAGATTAATGATGACCACCTAATCCTCGTTTTTTTCTTGATGCAATTGATTGGCTTTTAGAAAAGACAAAGATAAGAAGTAAATTATTATTATCGTCTCTTCTTTTTGTTCTTTTGCTTTTGGCTGTAAAGCAAGTATGTGTATAGTTGACTGACTGAAAGTAAAGTATGTGTAGTTGATGGGGGTTGCAGCAAGAATGATAAGCATCCACCAATGGTGGAACCATTCAGCAATCTCATCAGAGCCAAGTTGTTGCATTTGTAAGAGTAGAGTCTACAGAAACTCAGTCCAAACAGACTAGTCATATCACTCCTCACAGAGTCAAGAAGCTCAACATCTTAGTCGGTTATAAGAGAGTATAGCTGTCAACTGTGTTTACACCATAATCAACCGAGCATATCCAGCTTCAAAGCGACTAGCACCAAAGGCACACACGCCTTCTTCAATGCCGAAGGAAGACAAGATCCCGACTACCGAAGCTCCCAAATTGCCAAACCTACTCTACAAGACACATGTCACTACCACAGCGACTTGAACAAAGTCCCACATCGGAAATCTACACAAACCTCCCACTTTCACATCCCTATAAATAGGGAGTAGTATCCATGTGAAAAAGGGACTTCCTCTCTCCACTTAGAAGAGGATTTGGGTCTCAGAGCTAGACCCTAGGGCCGAGGACTCTCTCCTAGATCCTTGGCCTGGGCATCTCACTTGTCATCTTTATATTCGGGTCCAACCTCATGTACAAATGTAATCATACACCATTATAATGAGAGAATACTTCTCCGTGGACGTAGCCCATTCATTAAGGGTGAACCACGTATATCTTGTCTTCTTTACATTTATCGCTTGCCCAAGTCTTTACACACATGCTTAAGGTCCTCACCTTCATTCATCATCCATTACACCTCATCATTAAGTTGGACTCAATCTTGGCCCAACCATTTTGAGCATCAACAAACTGTCAAACGTTAAATGGTTGTGTTTGTTGTGGTGAATCCAGGTCTGTAATGCATTTAAGCTACAATTAGTGAAGATTATTAGATTCAGTTTAATTTTCTCTCTCAACTCTCTAATTTTCTTTGTAACCAAACATCTTTCCTTGTGTTCTTCTTTAATTAGTATTGCACAACAGTGAATATATTGATGCAATCCCAAGTCTTTGCATACCATGAAGGTTATATAATAACCCAGAAAACCAGAAAACACATTATTCAATCTCGTGGAAGCTGGCGAGATTAGAACCCAGAAAATCCACAACCCGGGGACTCTCAGAAAGCGGGATTGACGTTGGGTTGATAGTTTTTCTATATCGTGGATGTATTTGTGGGAGAAGGGGTGGAATGAAACGATGTCACGTTCGGAATGCGACATTTTCTTGTTTTGTCTTCGGATTTGGGAAATGTTGGAGTGGAAAATTTCGGATCCTCCAACAAGTAATTTTTTATTTCCATGTTGAGAAGCCGGACACCATCTTTGATTATCACCATTGAGTGAGGAGGGGGGGTACCTGCAAGAAAACACTCCGACGCTCAAGTCAGTCTTCGTTCATGAATACTGTAGTAGAATCAATCATAACTCCCTCCCCCTATGCTGGGGGATTAGTTAGCCTTTTATAGGCATTGAACCCTTGGACTCCAAGTCCCATATCCCTTATTTATCTCCATGCTCAATGGTAGTGGATATCATGTTATTTGATTCCCTTCACTCCCTAAATTTAGGTTCATGAGAAGTGGCTTGTTACTTGGGCCTTAATTTTTGCTCCCACAGGAAATCGACAAAACAACCCACCAGCCGTGAAGGAGAGCCTAGGATAAAATATGTTGAAGGGCCAAGCGTCAACCTTCTTTTAATGAACACATATTTATTCAACAAAAAGCTGGTGGAAATTAAACAGCAAAAAACAGAGAGTTCGACAAACAAAACAGCAGTTTAGAGTTTAGACAAACCTCAAACTGGCAAACACAGCAAACAAATACCACAAAACAGACCAGAAAAGAAATAAAGAAACGGGGAAATCTCCAATATAGCTAGACGAATGCTAAGAACTTATGTGACCCCTGCATTGAGAATTCTTGTTCATCCTGATTCGTCTGATAATATTGATTGTACATCTGTTGATGAAGCAGCGCCACTATCCCAACCTGACCCTGTTGAATCTGTTGATGTAACAGCATCATCCCAATGACCAATTACTACATTTGGGACGTGTTCAGCCGCTTTGAGATTGAGTTGCACATCAGAAGCTTTCTGAATCCCCTCCAACTCCACTGCCACTTCTTTCATCGTGGGGCGTCTTTTTCCGTTCATATCCAAGCATCTCTTTGCAAGGTTAGCCACTGCCAAAGTCTCTTCCGGTGCACCCTCCTCCTTAACTTGAGCATCAAAAATATCAAGCACATTATTCTCCTCCATGGAATGATTGAAATATGAAACTAGGCCTCTGGCTTCTTGTGAGCTCGTTAGAGAAACTGCCTTTTGTCCGGTCAAGAGCTCAACAAGAACCACTCCGAAGCTATACACGTCACTCTTATCCGTAAACTTACTTGATTGGAAGTACTCTGGGTCCAAGTAACCAAATGTGCCATGTACTAATGTTGTGAGGTGCGTTTGGTCAACTGAAACTGATCTTGAACTCCCGAAATCTGCTATTCTGGCTCTGTATTTGCCATCCAAGAGTATATTAGTAGACTTGATGTCACGGTGGTAAATCGGGAAAGAAGCTGCAGAATGCAAGTAGGACAGAGCTCCTGCAATTTCTAGAGCAATCCTCAAGCGCATTTCCCAGGTAAGAGGAAATTCCTCATTTTGGTCATGAATATATTGATAAAGTGTTCCATTGGGTATGTATTCATAAACCAAAAGAGGAACTTCAGTCTCTAAACAACAACCCAAAAGTTTAACCACATTTCTGTGGTTAATTTGAGAAAGAATGACAATTTCATTGATGAATTGTCTGACTTTGCCTCCACTAGCTATATTTTTGGACTTCTTTACAGCAACAATGGTTCCGTCTACCAACATTCCTTTGTAGACGGTACCTTGGCCTCCATGGCCAAGAATTCTATCTACATTAAACTGGTCAGTGGCTTTCTCTAGCTCCTCTGACTTGAACAACTTGGCTTTCTGAACATTAACTTCACCTGAAGATAATTGTTGCTCCAGCAAAATACCACCATTTTGTTTAAAGAAGTTCTCCTTGCGTTTAATGGCTTTTCTTTTCTTGATGACTTTCTGCAACCACCATGCACCAATGACTACTAATAACAGCCCAATACCAATGCCTATACCTGAACAGCTCAAAAAAAAAGAAAAAAAAAGAAAAAAAGAGAGGAAGGGATAATCAAAGTAACCAATAGCTTACAGAGGAAAAACAAAAGTGATTTTGAAGTTGGTTAAAGTAGGTTGAGGTTTAGTAATAGTTTATTGGTTAACTTACCGAGTGAAATATTAATCAAGAGAGGAGATTGGCTGGAGTTGTATTTTATGCAACCTGATCCAGTTTTCAGGCCATCACCTTTGTACCGTTTTGGACATAGACAAGAATAATTTCCAGGTAGATTTAAGCACTCTGCACTGCAGGGATCTGAGACCTCACACTCATCAATATCTGAGAAGAACGCAGCAGTAGAATGCATCACAATTGGTGGTAAAAACCTCAATCTTCAGCTTTTAATTATAACAAGTAATTAATAAGTAATATATGGACTTAATAATATATATTATACATGGGGATGTTTGGCGAAGTTATGTTACCAGTATCCTTCATTCTTAATCTATGGGCCTGCTAAATTACTATGCTTTTATGTGTGGTGTTAATAATTTATTTAGTCATCTAATTATGTCCATATATAGAATGGACGAACATTATATTTAACAATTTCCGACCTAATTGATCCATCGTAAGGATGACAGTTTCACATACAAAGTGATAGGAGCCTTTTAGTTCTTATCAAAAGAGATCACTCTTCAGATTACTCGAAAAGAATATATATAGTATCATGTCAATAGCGTATCAGTAACTTGTCGATAAATATGCTAGCGATGTGTTAAAGGGGGAATTGTAGATGGAGTGCATAATGTGTCTAGGACAGTTTGGGATTGCTTTCACTTTTTAAAAAAGTTGTTTGTGCTGTGCTTTGAAAATATTTAGTTATAAAGTAAAGCAGCTCCATGTTTGGTAAATAATATTTTTAAAGTGCTATTAGTATAAAAAGTAATGTCAAAATCGTTTGGTAAATTTTAATATAAAACTATTATAACTGTGAATAATGACTAAAATAGAAATTATGTTAAAAGCGTTATGCGCTAATCATATGGTGGTAATGCTGGTGGAGGTGGTGGTGAAAGAGATGTAGGTGAAAGTGGAGGTGAAAGAGGTGATGGTGGTGATGAAAGTGGAGGTGGTGGTTGTGGTAGTGATGGTGGAGGGGATGGCAGTTGTGGAGGTGGAGGTGGTGGCGGTGGCTGCGTGGTGGTTGTTGTGGTGTTGGTGGTGGAGGTGGAAGTGGAGGAGGAGGAGCATGTGGTGGTGGTTTCGGCAGTGGCATTCGGTGGTGGTGGAGTTGCATGTGGAGGTGGAGGTAGTGTTATTTTTAAAAATTAATGATGGTATTTTGGGAATTAAAAAAATTCATTAAAGG